AGCTACAGTGTCTTGTACATCATTCAAGGTTATTAAGCTACAGTGTCTTGTACATCATTCAAGGTTATTAAGCTACAGTGTCTTGTACATCATTCAAGGTTATTAAGCTACAGTGTCTTGTACATCATTCAAGGTTATTAAGCTACAGTGTCTTGTACATCATTCAAGGTTATTAAGCTACAGTGTCTTGTACATCATTCAAGGTTATTAAGCTACAGTGTCTTGTACATCATTCAAGGTTATTAAGCTACAGTGTCTTGTACATCATTCAAGGTTATTAAGCTACAGTGTCTTGTACATCATTCAAGGTTATTAAGCTACAGTGTCTTGTACATCATTCAAGGTTATTAAGCTACAGTGTCTTGTACATCATTCAAGGTTATTAAGCTACAGTGTCTTGTACATCATTCAAGGTTATTAAGCTACAGTGTCTTGTACATCATTCAAGGTTATTAAGCTACAGTGTCTTGTACATCATTCAAGGTTATTAAGCTACAGTGTCTTGTACATCATTCAAGGTTATTAAGCTACAGTGTCTTGTACATCATTCAAGGTTATTAAGCTACAGTGTCTTGTACATCATTCAAGGTTATTAAGCTACAGTGTCTTGTACATCATTCAAGGTTATTAAGCTACAGTGTCTTGTACATCATTCAAGGTTATTAAGCTACAGTGTCTTGTACATCATTCAAGGTTATTAAGCTACAGTGTCTTGTACATCGTTCAAGGTTATTAAGCTACAGTGTCTTTATTGTGGCACTAGTTGTAAGGATCTACATAGAATTTAACATGTCACATTGCAATTCAATTGCATTAACACAATTCAAGGTTTCACAATACAATTAAGGGCTGCATTCGTTTATCGCGATCCAAACGGTTGAACTGGTTGGACCAAAGTTGTTATTTATGAAATAAGGTCGGACCTAGTAATCTGATGCTGCTTTCAGACAAGCCTTGTCAAAGCCTTGCAAGGCCTGCATAAACAATTGCAGGTCCATCAGGATTTATACCTGAAAATGTTACATTTATAAACAGACAAACTGGTTGAACTGGGCAGATTCGCAAAAGGGGCCAAGTTGTTACAACACAATTTTATATCAATCTGGATTTCGATATTAATAATTCTCACTTTCTGGATGTGTTTATGTTGCAAATCTTATTATTATTTTTTGGTCTGATACTTTTTGGATTTACACAGAAATCTCGACTTGTACTTAATGTTTTTTTTATTTCATGATGGTAACATGAAAACCCCAAAAAGTATTCTCAGAAATGAAACAAACCCACTGGAAACATATTTATAAGCAGACTTGTATTCACCACTTAAATAGCAAAAATTCCCGACAACACGTGAAATACAAAAAAAATTGCAGTAATCAGAAATAGATAACCATTAGGAGATTTTTTTATTTAACTGTATGGTTGCTGTGTTCCTGACAGGTGCCTGAGCCCGACCCACGCCACATGCCGTCGGGATGGGGCGGAAGACCTGTGGAGAAGGATAACTCAACCTTGGACATCTTTGAGGTAATGTACTAATAAAACCGATCGATGGTGAGTAGCGAGATGGTGTTAGAAGGGTACACACTGGTATAAAGGAGGTGAGTAGGGAGATGGTGTTAGAAGGGTACAAACTGGTATAAAGGAGGTGAGTAGGGAGATGGTGTTAGAAGGGTACAAACTGGTATAGAGGAGGTAAGTAGGGAGATGGTTTTAGAAGGGTACAAACTGGTACATAGGAGGTGAGTAGTGAGATGGTGTTAGAAGGGTACAGACTGGTATAAAGGAGGTGAGTAGGCAGATGGTGTTAGAAGGGTACAAACTGGTACATAGGAGGTGAGTAGGGAGATGGTTTTAGAAGGGTACAAACTGGTATAAAGGAGGTGAGTAGGGAGATGGTGTTAGAAAGGTACAAACTGGTATAAAGGAAGTGAGTAGGGAGATGGTGTTAGAAGGGTACAGACTGGTATAAAATCTCGTACTGTGACCTACGGAAACAGATGCTTTTGGAGGGTTTCGGCTACGTTGTGGAATATCTTATCATCTGCTATTAGGAAGTCGAATACCCTGGTCAAGTTCAAGAGGGACATAAAAACTTACCTCTTCACGTCTGCATTTTAGAATCTTTGCAAAGACGTCATGTAAATACCACCCTTTTATTTGTTCAATTATGTGCACATTGCTTGTTAAATGTATGCAAGTGATTGCAAGCCTTTGTTGTTTGTTTTCACAATTATAACCATTACTATTATCCATATGTTGTAAAGCGCCTTAGAGTTATTTTACAAATTATATAGGGCGCTATATAAATGCTGTATATTATTATTATTATTATTATAAAGGAGGTGAGTAGTAAGATGGTGTTAGAAGGGTACAAACTGGTATAGAGGAGGTGAGTAGGGAGATGGTGTTAATAGGGTACAAGCTGGTATAAAGGAGGTGAGTAGGGAGATGGTGTTAGAAGGGTACAAACTGGTATAGAGGAGGTGAGTAGGGAGATGGTGTTAGAAGGGTAAAAACTGGTATAGAGGAGGTGAGTAGGGAGATTGTGTTAGAAGGGTACAAACTGGTATAAAGAAGGTGAGTAGGGAGATGGTGTTAGAAGGGTACAAACTGTTATAAAGGAGGTGAGTAGGGAGATGGTGTTAGAAGGGTACAAACTGTTATAAAGGAGGTGAGGAGGGAGATGGTGTTAGAAGGGTACACACTGGTATAGAGGAGGTGAGTAGGGGGATGGGGTTAGAAGGGTACAAACTGGTATAGAGGAGGTGAGTATGGGGAGCGTGTTAGAAGGGTACAGACTGGTATAGAGGAGGTGAGTAGGGGGATGGGGTTAGAAGGGTACAAACTGGTATAGAGGAGGTGAGTAGGGGGATGGTGTTAGAAGGGTACAAACTGGTAAAGAGGAGGGGAGTAGTGAGATGGTGTTAGAAGGGTACAGACTGGTATAAAGGAGGTGAGAAGGGTGATGGTGTTAGAAGGGTACAAACTGGTATAGAGGAGGTGAGTAGGGGGATGGGGTTAGAAGGGTACAAACTGGTAAAGAGGAGGGGAGTAGTGAGGTGGGGTTAGAAGGGGACAGACTGGAATAGAGGAGGTGAGTAGGGAGATGGTGTTAGAAGGTTACAAACTGGTATAGAGGATGTGAGTATGGGGAGCGTGTTAGAAGGGTACACACTGGTATATAGGAGGTGAGTAGGGGGATGGTGTTCGAAGGGGGCAAACTGGTATAGAGGAGGTGAGTATGGGGGTGGTGTTAGAAGGGTACAAACTGGTACATAGGAGGTGAATAGGGAGATGGTGTTAGAAGGGTAAAGTCTGGTATAGAGGAGGTGAGTAGGGGGATGGTGTTAGAAGGGTACAAACTGGTATAGAGGAGGTGAGTATGGGGAGCGTGTTAGAAGGGTACAGACTGGTATAGAGGAGGTGAGTAGGGAGATGGGGGTAGAAGGGTACACACTGGGATAGAGGAGGTGAGTAGGGGGATGGTGTTAGAAGGGTACAGACTCGTATAGAGGAGGTGAGTAGGGAGATTGTGTTAGAAGGGTACAAACTGGGATATAGGAGGTGAGTAGGTAGATGGTGTTAGAAGGGTATACACTGGTATATAGGAGGTGAGTAGGGAGAGGGTGTTAGAAGGGTACAGACTCGTATAGAGGAGGTGAGTAGGGAGATTGTGTTAGAAGGGTACAAACTGGTAAAGAGGAGGTGAGTAGGGAGATGGTGTTAGAAGGGTACAAACTGGTATATAGGAGGTGACTAAGGATGAGGAGAAAAGGTGTGGATAGCAATGGAATGAGGTTGTTGATAGGTGACTCAGGGTACACACAGACCTTTAAAACTTAGCCTCAAATATCAAAGGATTTAATTGGCCTCAAAAAACCCAAGATTGATGAAAAAGCCTTAAAAGCCCCTAGATTTAACAAAAATGTCTTAAAATGTTGTACATAAATTTTGGTGGTTTTGTGATGTTTATGTATTCATAAAAACGAATACAGAAAATCAAACTAAAAATGAAATATTTTTTTCAAGTAAATTTCTTGATTTTAGGAATTCTGAGCTGTGTTAGGTTTTGGGTTTGTTTGGTGTATATGTGATGAGTTTAGAGACATCCAGGCTACACATCCAAATCTATGTATTTTGGGAATTTGCAAATGGTGAGAGATTTTAGGCCTTAATTTTACTGAAAAAGAAACCTCATGCCTTAAGAGAGCCTTGAATTTCATAGTAAAATTCTTGTATGAACCCCTTGACTGTTTTTGGATAGAAGTAAAGAAGAAATAACACCATTGAAAAATGGAAATTGAAAAGAAATACTGCATGTATATATAGGAAAAGAACATTCAAATTCTGATTGGAAGTTGAAAAGAAATGCTGTTATTTATCTCAATTGCAAAGTTGAGAAGAAATACAAATAATGAAATATTTAAATTTCGAAGTTGATATGAAGCATTACACATGGTCTTAAATCAGATCGCCCGTAGATACCGTTTGGAGACCATGGAGTCGGACTCCCAAGAGGACGAAGAAGATGAAGTAACCGTAGAAAAAGAAGTCCAACTTATGCCCTGCATGCAAAACCGCAGTAAGGTGGTCAAGAAGAAGCGGACAAAGAAGAGAAGTCAAGGTTATGAAAGTGACGAAAGTGGGGAAGAACGTGAGTTCTACTCTCAGCAACGGAGGGTCTCACTTCTTCCACCAGAAAAGGACCCTAAGGTAGAGGTCGAAAGCATCACAAAGATCAGTCTGGTGTGTTGTGTATTTCACAAGGCTGGGTCATTCATATTCACTCACATTCACTCACTATAATACTGTGAGTTTTACAAAAACTCATTGGCACACTGTTTCCTTCATATAAACTCACTGGAATGCTATTTCCTTCATATTAACTCACAGGGATGCTGTTTCCTTCATATTAACACACTGGAAGCTGTTTCCTTCATATTAACTCACTGAAAGCTGTTTCCTAATATTAACTCACTGGAAGCTGTTTCCTAATATTAATTCACTGGAATGCTATTTGCTGTGTCCTTCATATTAACTCACTGGAAGCTGTTTCCTTCATATTAACTCACAGGGATGCTGTTTCCTTCATATTAACTCACTGGAAGCTATTTCCTTCATATTAACTCACTGGAATGCTGTTTCCTTATTATTAACTCACTGGAAGCTGTTTCCTTCATATTAACTCACTGAAAGCTGTTTCCTAATATTAACTCACTGGAAGCTGTTTCCTAATATTAATTCACTGGAATGCTATTTGCTGTGTCCTTCATATTAACTCACTGGAAGCTGTTTCCTTCATATAAACTCACTGGAATGCTGTGTCCTTCATATAAACTCACTGGAAGCTGTGTCCTTCATATAAACTCACTGGAATGCTGTGTCCTTCATATAAACTCACTGGAATGCTGTGTCCTTCATATAAACTCACTGGAA